AGTAGTTGTGAACATGAATCTAACATGAGAGAAGTAGATATAACTTAGCTTGCCGTACGTTACCTCAACTCTAGTTCAGTGCCAATTAATTATAAAGTGGTACGTATGAGTCAAACCAACTCATAGTTAAAGTAAAACCAGATACAACCTCTACTTGCATTATTATGGCAGTTCCAAAAATCCTCAGTATACCCTCCTTCGTATAATTCCTCAAAGACACGACTGCCACGAACTTTTGGTTCCCAGTCTTAACCGTTGTGTAGCCTCAATAAATCATATGATATGATTGGCCCCATGTACAGCGTGACGTCAGAGGTCATGTCTGCCATATAGGACAAGACTACCACGGTACACAAGTCTTCTGCAACGGTGGTTTTAAATTTCGGTCCCAGACCCTCAAGAGAGGACCCTTGAGAATCTGGGACCGAAAAAAATGAAGGCTGTGGAGGAGACTACGRTTTTTTCTGATAACCAAACAGGAAAAAAAAATTTTGTCGGGAGTAACTGAAAGAAAGAGGAATAGTAAGAAGAAGAAGCTGTAAGCATTTTTAAACGAAGACTCAACACGGCAGAAAATAAACAAAACCATTAAAAAATGAGTAACAAAAAAAGAAAGTCAAAATATTCAAAAATCTAAAGCAATGTTTTTATCCTACTTTGGTCAAATGTTCTAGTCATCAGTTCTTTATTTTTTATTTTTTTTTACAACCTGGCTTATTCAGAAAGCCGTTGACGATGCTTATTCCAAATGTAAACTTTTTGTCAATGAAGATTTTATCAGTGATTAATAACGTTTTTCTTCTTAAACTGGAATATCTATGTTTAATTCTAGAATTTTTTTACGTGTCGCTACGCAAGATAATAAGAAGGTCTCTTACGAATAAAGAGATTTTACATCCAGTTCCTTCTCTCGCGGTTAAGTCCAGTCAATTAGCTTTACCACTGCTAACAATGGCCACATTGGCAAGCGATATGATTTTATTGATCTTAGTACGCTAAATACATAATGCATGGCAAATAAATTTACAAAAACCGTGTACAAGGCGTGAAAAAAAATTTGGGAGAAGCAAAGTTTTTGTTCAGTAMATATTTGGACTTAAACTTTTCTGTTAAAGCACGTTATTAT